CAAAGAATGGGGTCGCTGCCCACATGTACTCCGCTATATGCTGACCTATCTATCAAATTATCACTACTGTCTGTATGTACCACATTTTTATGGCGATGTAGACAGGGGAATCATAAGCCTGAGGATTTAGGGCCTCATGGCTAGTACTGTCGCCAAGGACTGTACAGGTTGTGATGGTTTAATTTTGCCCCTGATAGAAAAACGCCATCACCTTACTGGGGGTCAAACCCTGGTCTCCCGTATGAAAGCAACCGTTTCTATTAAGTTATATTAAAAATAAACTTCTAGGCACAAAATCATTGTTCCCAGAGTCTCACTTTTATTGAAAATAAACACACAAAAATGTCCGTTAAACGAGGTAGTGACTTATAGACATTCATTCACGTGTCATGCAAAACGACAAACTAGGCTGGTGAATAAAGACATTTCTCTTATGCTAACCTGATTGCATAACTTTAAAGGAAAGCATTACCAAGGATGATTTTGTATGCGATCTTCAAATCCAAGATAAGAGACATTGTGGCTAACTTCTCATGGAAATAGTCTGTAGAGGTACAGTGAGAGGTTGCTGCAGCGGGGAACTGAGCACACATGGAGATGTCTAATGTGCAATGACGTCAACTGTGATAACATAACATAAAAATAACATTTCCTGCAGCATATGACTGAGATCTGTATACTGTATTGACTTGTGAACATGTTAGCAAATTTATGCATACAACCCCCAAACAAAAGCTGCAAGGGTCATCAGAAAGATAGCGTTGACATTGAGCACCCATTTCCAAGTCTTGCTTTCGTAAATTGACGTCTGCTTCTCTTCTATCGCTCGCATCTCAGCGTCAGTCATATGATGTTCCTCTGACATCTTTTCAATGCCACAGATCCACTGGCAGGCTTTTTTATACCATGGCAATGAGTCATAATCTGTTAATGATAATGGAGAACATTTCCAAAAACAGTCAATTCAGTTAAATTCTTTTAAGTAACTTATCTGAATATATTACAGAATAAAAAACAAAACACACGATCACCACCATCATCATCAAGAAACTTGCCGACTGGAATGGGTATGTTTCAATTCGTGTGCTGACACCCCTCCATGGCATGACAATACGCTGTCAAGAATCTTTATTTTTTTTTTTTCGGCTGTTTTTTTCTGTGGTCACAAAATGTTTCCTTATTCTCATATTATGACAAAAAATTAGGATTGTCTCTTTCTGATGTTTGTGGTAAGCTCTCTTTAAGCTTGAGAATCAGCTGTACACACTCACCGTGATTGTATCATTCACAGAGCATGTTGAGAAAGTTGAAAACAGTCGTGCAGAGTGGCAAGCATCACTTTAGAGGTTGTGAGTAGTTAGCATCTTTGGATATTTTCTCCAGGTTATACCGCTGTGTTGGGAAATGAACACGCAGATAGACTGGCTGGCTCTTCACCACTTGGTGGCAAATTGATGTATGACAAGCTAGATATTGTGAGGGCCTTTAGGAAACGAGTGAACCGTGTGGAGGTACAGATAGAACAGATCATTACAGTCTGAGGAGAATGGCGCTGCGATGTTGTCTGGGAATCTGGCCGACACTGAACACACAGAGGAAGGATGAGACGGATTTACAGACGATTACTGGTTCCAATGGAATTGGAGCTCCTCTTCGCTTGCTGCTGAAGATGGCGATGGAGCACTTATGGGAGTGTCATGAGTGCTGTGATGTCGATTCTTAATTAAGCATTCAACATTCAAGCTCTCACCTCTTTCACAACATTTGCGTATTTGTAGCCATCAAAGGAATTATAAGATTTATTCTAAGAAAAACCACATTTCTGAGGCTTCAAGAACTTGTTTGGCTTTTTTATTAAAACTGGCTCTATATATCACACAAGAATTATTTCTCTTTACTCCAATGAGAAGTCGCCGTGGTGTAGCGGCTAGACAGTCGCCTTCTGATCTGAAGGTCATGGGTTCAGGTCCTGACGAAGCTGGGTTTAAAAAACAAATGACCTTGGCTACCAGATCGACCTAAACTTGAGTGGGTACCAGGTGCAGTCCTGGGAAGTAAAAGCGGCCGGCGTGATGCAGACCACACCAACCACCATGTGCCAATTGGTCTATAAAATATATGTCTAGCCCTAAAGAGCGGAAAGGGCTGAATCAAATTGCATATGTAAGCGATAGCAGATACAATAGAAAGGGTATCATATAATGTTTTCCTTCTCGTCAATTCGCTGTTTAGAAGATGCGTGTGCAGCTAGCATTGCAAGCTCAAGTAACAGGTCGCTTTCACATGTTACATACAGTTTCTGAAGCAATGGCGTACGCACACAGTGAGCCTTCTTGTCATTATACTCGGGACGAAAACCGAGTGGCTTATTTCTATCTAAAGGAAAACAGCAATAATAAACAGTAATACCACTGGTTTCTTTGGCAGTAGAAAATGTAAGCGGTGATTACAGCTCTTACAAATAAGCCTCACCACAGATAGTGTGCAGCTGCTCGCCTCACCACAGATAGTGTGCAGCTGATCGCCTCACCACAGATAGTGTGCAACCGCTCACCTAGCCACAGATAGTGTGCAACCGCTCGCCTCACCACAGATAGTGTGCAGCTGCTCGCCTCACCACAGATAGTGTGCAGCTGCTCGCCTCACCACAGATAGTGTGCAACCGCGTGCCTAGCCACAGATAGTGTTCAACCACTCGCCTCGCCACAGACAGTGTGCAACCACTTGCCTCACTACAGATAGTGTGCAGCTGCTCGCCTCACCACAGATAGTGTGCAACCACTTGCCTCACTACAGATAGTGTGCAGCTGCTCGCCTCACCACAGATAGTGTCCAGCTGCTCGCCTCACCACAGATAGTGTGCAGCTGCTCGCCTCACCACAGATAGTGTGCAGCTGCTCGTCTCACCACAGATAGTGTGCAACCGCTCACCTTATCACAGATAGTGTGCAGCTGCTCGCCTCACCACAGATAGTGTGCAACCGCTCGCCTAGCCACAGATAGTGTGCAACCGCTCGCCTCGCCACAGATAGTGTGCAACCGATCAATGGGTGACACTGACTATTGTCAACACCAGATCCTATTTTGAGGAATAAGAACAGACCTGCTGTCTCTTAACAAGCATCTCGTGGTAGGCGTCTCACTGAGTGATTGTTGAAATCAAATGTATTGGGCCGAAATACACATATTTTACAGCCTTGTTGCAAACCACAACACAGCGTGCCAACTACCTTCTAAGGGTGTCCTCTTGCTTTCCTATAAGATCTTCTTTTGGTGTAATTCCTCTGCTGGTGAAACTGTGCTGCTGCATTCTAATAGATGCCTAAACCGTTTGATGTTCAATTTCTTGATTTACGATCTGACAATATCATTTCTTGCTTATTTAGGGATGGTTGAATTTGATTTTTTCCTCAGTGATTTCACCTCACAAGTGCCTAAATCTAAATGATTATTGTCAACTGCTAGGTGTGATTTGTTCATAAGTCATGCATCAACAGAGAGATAGGATGCATTCATTAAAGAAGCTCAAACAAAAGGATTGAAGGAAATTATGTTGAAGAGTCTTGCATCATAGCATGAAAATATGTAAATGAATGAACTGATAAGTAGCACCATTGGAACATTTCTCGAGATCATGCTAGAAATCCCAAGGCTGAATTGGCACTGATGTAGATTTGAACCGTAGATCTGTTCAGCAGGAGAAAGTCTATTTACACTGCTCCCATTGTGAAGGTGGGCACAAGATATCCCTGACATTTTTGCGTCACAGAAAAAATAAATCTAAGAATGAGGGAAATTTGCAAAAGACCTCCCCATGTAGGTTCCAGAACGCCATTAATTAAGGGGAAACCTCCCCATGTAGGTTCCAGAACGCCATTAATTAAGGGGAAACCTCCCCATGTAGGTTCCAGAACGCCATTAATTAAGGGGAAACCTCCCCATGTAGGTTCCAGAACGCCATTAATTAAGGGGAAACCTCCCCATGTAGGTTCCAGAACGCCATTAATTAAGGGGAAACATCCCCATGTAGGTTCCAGAACGCCATTAATTAAGGGGAAACCTCCTCATGTAGGTTCCAGAACGCCATTAATTAAGGGGAAACATCCCCATGTAGATTCCAGAACGCCAATAATTAAGGGGAAACCTCCTCATGTAGGTTCCAGAACGCCATTAATTAAGGGGAAACCTCCCCATGTAGGTTCTGGGACCCTATTAAGTGAAGGGAAACCTGCCCATGTAGGTTCTGAAACACCATTAAGTGAGGGAAAACCTCCCCATGTAGGTTCTGAAACACCATTAAGTGAGGGGAACCTGCCCATGTAGGTTCTGAAACACCATTAAGGGAGGGAAAACCTCCCCATGTAGGTTCTGGAACCCCATTAAGTAAGGGGCGGGGGAAGGAATTGACACAGGGCTATATTTAGACTTGCTGAGGCCCTCAGCTTATTTAGCTTATGCCTAAAACTAGCCCCGGATAGACCCGGCACTTGTTGTTTAAGGTTGCTAGTGAAATCCAGCGTGTTGGACCAAACGACATTTGAGAACATCGTGACAACTGGAAAGATCAATGGAAAAAGTGGTAGAGGCAGACCAAGAGAGATGATGCTGGATGGGTTGAAATGATGATATGGAGGGATATCATCAAAATACCTGTTCCAGGCAACCATGGATTGTGATCTGTGGAGATGAATGAGCGCCTATGCCAGTTGGCAGGGCACATGATGATGATGGACCAAACAGGACAGATGCTGTAGTCTAGCTGTAAACCACAGCACAACGTACTAACACTCATGGTAAGGGCTAATGCAGAAGTAGAAAACGTAGAATATATAAGAAGAAGAAAACATAGAAAAGATAAGAAGAATAAAACATAGACAAGATAAGAAAAAGACAATAATTTGAAATGACTGTGATTGGAGTGACTTTCAGTAAAGTGTCCGATTTATGATAAAGAGAACACCAAGCGTTTTTCCTCTGTCACGCTGTCAGTCCTTTCTTACCATCTTGATATGGTTTAGGTGCTGATATAGGCTCTGGCACTGGCTTCTCCTCCTCCTCGACTTCTGAGATATCTATTCTTTGTCTGGTGCTGTTGCGATTCCAGTAGGTTAGCCTCTCTAGCTGTAATGAAAAATAGACCAGTCAACCATGCCGGTGGCACAAAAAAAGGGGGGGGGGGGGGGGAGAGGGGGGGGGGACTGAAAAAGAAAGCTAATTCTAAACAAATGGGTGGTATAGCCAATAACATGCCATTCTCAGTTGCTTTCTATGTCATTATCTGGTACCCATCTTAGGCTGTGTCGCCTCATAGTCAAGGTCAGAACAAAATCAACCCCAGACCTTATGGCCGTCAGCCAAGCGTCTAGCCATTTTGCTGCCATAGCTCCTGGTTTATGAATAAATTTGATGTAAAGGTAGGTTTGATTTAGAATCTAAGGCGGTACTGTGGCCAATACGCTTGTTTCTAAGGTCCATTTCAATCTGCACCAGTTGCAGAACTACCTTGTGTTATCGCTAAGAGCATTGACTTCATTGCACCTGGGACTAAAAGAAGAAAATATAATGTTAACATCAATAAATATATTCAAACATTCGGGAAATCTCCGCAGCCAGTTAATTGCACATCGTACCATTCAGTCCATAAATGCACGGATCCCTTTCCGGGTAAATCCCAAAACGCACAGAGGCTGATGACACTAGCTCTTATTTTGGTTTATTATTCTTCTTTGACTTCCCGCATAGTGTTCTTCTCTGGTCACACCCCTTGTAACATGTTGTTCTTACAATCTGGTCATGGCTGCAGATTCAGTCATCACTTGGTTCTCGCAAACGTCTTACTTCTCTTAGAGTATAGAGCATTCAGTGTATCAGTTGGTCCACGGCTCGTCTGCACACCTTAGCTAGGCAGTTAAGCTTTTGACTCCTTCTCTGAACGTCAAGCATTCAAATCAGGATTTGAACAGGAAGGCTTTAAGTGGCCTTGTTTAAGTGCATACTTTCACACACACATGTATATGTGTGTTTGCATACACACACACACACACACACACACACACACACACTGTTACACAGATAATGTGGCAAATGGCAAGTAAATAAAATAATATTCTTGTATACTTGAAAACAAAATGAAATATACAAACACATCCTTAAAAGTACTTCTATACACCTAGTGAGGGGGTTGATGGGGGAGAGGGAGGCATACAGGAATTTGTGCTTTAGATTCAGACATGTATGGCAACCTGGTCTATCCTCTCACATGTGCCCATGCACTTTATTTCTGGACATGAACATGATAAAACTGGAAAAAAAAAAGAACATCTCTTACGTGGATATCATCAATTGGAGCGGTCATCAGACTAATCACAATGGTCACAGCAGCAACAATTCCAAACAGGATGATGCCAAAATGTAAGTAGTGGATTTTGCTGACAATATCTGGCTTGTGCCCTTTGTACTCTTCTCCACACGGGTAGTTCTTATAAGAGTATTCCCAAGTGAACCGGATAAGACCAATACAAAGACCAATCATCAGCCCCCAAAAAGCTCCCTGAAGAAAAACAAAAAGTGAAAGCAAAACATTCAATGACACGATGTCCGACACAGCTCCTATAGGTTTTCCTGGCTATAACAGTTACATGGTTTAACACGATATCAGCTCATTCATGTCAGCATGTTTCATTTGAAAGAACAAGATCATCAACAGCATATAGTTTTTCCTATTATATAGAACAGTAGGTACCATAGGCGCAGGAACATGCGGCTGAGGCACCTTGAGCCTCTTCCCCGCCCCTCCACAATCCCTGAGTCTCCACCCAAACAAAAAAATTGTGGTGAGTGAGTGACGTTCATCCCCCACTGGACCGCACTACGGGCAACTAACACCCGGTGACACAAAGTGCCACCATTCAAATGAGGATCACCCGGGCACAGGTCCCAGAAACCCCGTTCAAACATTAGGTTATAATGGGGGTCCGACAAAAGACGCAGGGGGGCTTTAAAATATTAATAATAATAAAAAGTCCCATACTGGGGTGGAAGCAATTTTAAGGGTTGGCTGAGTTGGCTTAGAATATCACACCGAGTGATAAACACCTAGTGACACAATGTTAAACCATTCGGATAAGGATCACCCGGGGACTGTTCACAGAAACCTTGTTCACTCAGTTATAACTAGGGCCTCTGACCACAGCCGGGGTGGGGCTTCAAAATAATGAAAAAATGAGTCCCACATGAAGACAGACTTTTAATATTGTAGGGGCTGACCCTGCCACCTCTCGTTAATTCTTAAAGGAGCTGAGTCAGTATGCCTACTTGTTCCCCTAAACATTTTTACATTTTAAAATACATACGCTAAATATGATCAAACTTACCTTTTCATTGGTTCTCTTCCAGAAGATGGCTAGCACATAGACGGCACAAATGGGAGGAGCTAGGAAGCTGGTGATTGCCTGAATGTAGTGGAATAGTTCTGTGACACTCTGTACCACAGGGATCCAGACAATGCCCACAGCCACTAGGATGATCACACACAACCTAGGGAGGAGCCAGAAAAACAACACTGTTGATGCGGGTCTTTCATCATTATCATCATCACTATCATCATGTACCATGCTGGTAGTGTAGGTTGTCATGTTTCGCCATCTCACAAGATCACCAGAATTACGAATCAGTACAATGTTTTTAGCGCACCCCATCCATCTGACCAGGCCATCCAGGTGTTTATCTCTTTGCCTTCCTCTTGCATTCAGTCTTGCCAGTCTTACCCCAAGTTCATTTCTTCTCATAATATGTCAAAAATATTGGCTGTCTACTTCTAATTGTTGTAATAAATTAACAATTTTCATCTATCTCGATAAGGACTGCTTGGTTTGTTTTTCTATCCTTTGATGATATGCTTTGCATTCTTCTTAGAAACCACGTCAATGCCATGGGTAAATGTTTGTCAGCTTGTCTGCCTTTTGTCCATGTTCTGATGCACATAACATAGGTTCTAGATAAGAGTGTGGTTCTTTCTTTATCGTAGCCGTATGCTTTGCTACTTAGCTTTATGATGAAGTCTGTGACAGCCACAAACTCAAACACACATTGAGAAAGTACTAAAAAAAACACACAACTAATCATTCTGTACCCATAGGCGCCGGATCCATGGGAGCTCAGACACCTTGAACCTCAAAATTGTTTAATTTAGGATGACCGGCAGATTGGTCGCAAAAACACCCGCAGAGTACCAATTGTTGTATTACAAACGTGTACCTACAAACACATGCACAATATGTTACTAATATTAAGAAGATCTTACAGAAGGCTTTTATTTGGTCTGCGGTAGGCAATGGTACTCGGTACAAGCACTTTTCTTTAGCGAGCAGTTTTTTTAGTACTATTGTAAGACACTTTGTGTTGAATACCGGCACATTTGTTAGACACTCTGCGGTGAGCACTGGCGTAGAAAAGTCAGGTGATAACCCGTGCAGAAAATGTCATGTCACACTCCTTCCACTCCGTAATGACACCTGGGGAGACACATTCCCACCCCTTTCCTAAGACACTGGCGGTGAGTACCAGTACCATTTTTTTCTCCTTTAAGAAAGCTATGCTTACATTTGTTATTCCTGTTAGTTGTAGCTATAGTGTCCTTACCTTCCAACAATCATAAGTTCGACTTCAGTTGCATTCCGTCGTATCCTCCGCCAAATGTCCATTGTAAAAATGGTACTGCTGCTGTTGAATATCGATGTAAGAGAGGAGATAAGAGCGGACATCATAACTGAGAGCATCAGGCCCCGTAGTCCTGCTGGCATGAGTTCCAACACCAGAGTAGGAAAGGCAATGTTTGTGCAACTGTTTTGTCTACAGACAACTTGACACACTGCCGGGTCAGCGCATGCTATTCTGTCTGAATGGGAGACAGGTTGAAAACACTAAGTTATATCAAACACATTAATCGCTTCTAAAGTGTAAAAACTGAAGAAAAAGAAGGAGGAGGAAGAGGAGGAGGAGAAGAAGAAGAAGAAAAAGAAGAAGAAGAAGAAGAAGAAGAAGAAGAAGAAGAAGAAGAAGAAGAAGAAGAAGAAGAAGAAGAAGAAGATAATGAAGAAGAAGAAGAAAAAGAAAATAAAGAAGAAGAAGAAAATAAGAAGATGAAGAAAAGGTATAATTCGGTTACACACACTATATCTTCCTTTGTTTTTTAATAACAATACATACAATTCTACCTATTCTCATGCATTCTAACAAACTTTTAAAAAAAAAACTCTTGTCTGTTCTGTTGCAGCGAATATACTCACATGCCAGCTCGAAGGTCTTAGAATTAAATCCACATTGTAGCTGATTTTTCATCAAAACTGACTTTGGCTTCCAGGTCGATCAAGCCAAAATGAAATCCAGATAATCCCCTGGGAAGTAAAGGCAGTTGGCGTGATAATGCTCACTCACCTACCAAGTGCTGTTGTGTTTATAAAAATCTGGCATCAGATGCATGGCAAGGACACTGGCGTGTGAAAAAATCTTTTATTTCCTTTATATTTCTTATACAAATAAATCGGTCATATCAAATCAATGCTATCAGATTTTGGGAAAAAATAAAAAGCAGATAGCATGGTACCAGGAAGGAGGGGCAGGGGCGACCAACATAAAGATGGGCACAGGATATAAGTTACTCCTTGAATATGAAAGTACACAAGGTGGACAAGCTGGCAAGAGACCTAGTTCCTTTCAGGCATACAGTGAAGAGAGCAACATTCTGCAAAGGACCCGCTAGATGACACAAATAAATATGTCTTACCAGTGTACAAAACTCTAGCAATCATGCCAGGGAAGACAATGAGAAACAGAGGCAAAAACTTGAGGTAGGCGGCCAACAGGCAACCTGCTTTGGCGTGAGTCAGATTCTTGGCAGCAAGAGCCCTTTGTACAATAACCTGCAGATGATCACATGGGTGTAAAATGATAGTTAGAACATGTAACAGCATTGGAAAAACACTAAGTTTATGTACAAGTTTTACTGAACACAACACAAGCAATCAATAAATAAATTTAAAAACTGGAAAAACCATGAAGTAAATTCCACCGCTTCAGAACACTTTACAAGTAACAAACAACTTAGCATTTTTCTTTCCAAACTGACTTTACAATTGTTATTGTAAAGTCTTTAGTAAAGTTAGCATTTGCTTATGTGTTTTTATTTAAATGTCTGTTTTAATGACATTATCGAGACTTGACTGCCAAAATGAGACCATTTTAGGTGAGTTGGAATTTTTATACACAGTGACCAGGCTTCTTCGCATTTGCAAATAAAACTAAATCAAGGTATTCGTCGTATTCGTCATCACACGTCTACACATGTTGACATCCCGGCAACTACACAATAGATGTCAATTATTGTCTACAAATCCTTCTCCAACTCCTGTCCTATATCCCACAGAGTTACCGGCCATAGCCACCTGAAATAAAATCCTCCTCTTGACATCACGTAATCACTAGTTACTTGCAGCATCATTTCTTAACACACACCCAAAATCAACTGTCATTGACATATGAGCAAAGCATGACTCATCCCAAGGAAACTGGATAAGGAAAGTATTAGTCCCAAATAAGAAATTACATCAAAGATGGCAGTAGTCATAAAACATCCATTGAACATTTGCATTCAAGGCCACCAACTTTTGCCAAGACCATTCTTGCTCTAATTTTAACAAGGCATCTTGCCTCAGCGATTATGATAACTCCAAGACAGTTGTATCTTTTGACTTGCCTAATAATTTTACTGTTTGCATGTATTCAACATATTGGTGTTAATTATTTATCATTGCTTGGTGATGACTATAATTTCCATTTTCTCACAAATTAATCCCAAGCCTAGTTTCTCACTTTGAACTATTTCTGCATCCACTATATGCTGCAAATCTTCTTCATTGTCTGCAGTTAACAACATATTATCTGTATATCTTATACTGTTGACGTTACATCCTCCCACGATAATTCTTTCTAAATCGGATTTTTTAAAGAGTCCTATTATCTGTTGTTATCATCATCATCATCAGGTGCCTTGCCGACTGGCATGGGCGATCATGCTTCTCCATAATCTACGATCTCCTGCAGCATGTATCAGTTCGTGTGCTGACACACCTCCATGCCATGCAACAAGACTGTCAAGCATCTTCTCTCGTTGTCTTCCTCTATCCCTCCTTCCACAAATCTTTCCAGTGGTCACAACATGTTCTATTTTTCCTCTTCTCATAACATGGCCGAAAAATGATGACTGTCTTTTTCTGATGTCTGTGATGTCTTCGGGCTCCCGCCATTTCAAAACCTCTTGGTTGCTCTTTTTGGCTGTCCGAGGTATTCTAAGCATTTTTCTGTAAAACCACATCTCTGAGGCCTCAAGAAATTGTCTGGCCTGCCTACCAAACAATTTCTTGAGGCCTCAGAGATGTGGTTTTACAGAAGAATGTAGTTATACATTGGTATATTATAAGTGTAAAATTTTGATCGTCCATGCACTTCTGGCCTTTGGTCTGTTCCTGAAACTGAGTTTTGTATGCACATCTGTTTTGTAGATCTGGCTTATTTATATGCAGAGTTTTGGTTCATCGCCTCTCAGGCAGATGAACTCTGACTTCAAGAGAGATACCACTCATTAGTCGTCTTTTACGATGTGCTTTTTGGGAGCAGTGAATCTAATTCCCTATAACCCTTCCAACTGTCCATAGAGCACATACAGAATTTCCATGACAAAACTGAGTTTTACAAAGGTGGGAGTCGTACATTAACTTTTTTGTTGTTCCAGGGGGTTTAGCATCAGAGGCTCAAGGGGTGCTCGAGAGAGATGCAAAATCGGCTCATTTTGCGTTAATTGGGCTTCTAGGTAGGAACCTATGAATGTATGATACGTTCCTTGGGACAAAGAGTTAAGGGCACTACTAACACGGCAACGTGAAGATGCCTTCAAAGGGAGGTATTTATTCCCCCAGCTGACACGTATAGTCATTCTGCTGAGTAACCACTGACCCGGCTGCATTGAGATACCAGCTAAGTGATTTTGTGTATCTATGTAGTATTGTTTAATTTGTATGTTCTGATGAAGGCTCAATACTCGCAATGTTCACGTTTCGTTTGTATTTGTTATATTGTGAATCTTGCTTATAAACTTTTCGTTCTGTTTTATATCTTTTCGAAGGGAGGAGCGCCAATTGGTCTTGGAAATATATTTATCACCATTTGTCCGATGTGCTAATGGCATAACCTACTTAAATAACAGAAACAACCAACCTGATCCGAACACCAATACCAAATGGATGAAACCAACAAGCCAATGAAGACACCTGGCCAGGGCAGATTAGTATCGTCTGCTGGCCGTATCAGATTGTAGGCATTTGCTGGAGGGATGCCACATTGTGTGTACGAGTAGTTGTCATTCTGACCAAGATGGTGCAGTGTGGTATTTGGGTAGGATGTGAGGTATTTAGACCGTAGCTCTTCGTATCCGCCCACTTCAATGAACCCTGCATTAAAAAAATTATGTTTGTAACTATTTTCTGTTGTTATTCTTTTAATTGTACTATTATTAAAACATAACTCTAGTATCATTTGCCCAAGGCACCATCAGGCATAGGCAGGGTAATCTACCGTTTATCTATCAACAGTTTAGTAGAAATGGAAATTTAAGACATACAACTCTTATAAATACCATACAAGAGGGAACAGTTGAAGGCAAATGAGTACGAGGCAGACAGCGATACAAGTGATTAGATAACATCTAGAGATGGATGAACAACAGTCTGAGAGAGTTTACACCAAGGGTGAAAGACAGAGCGTGTTGGAGACCTGTTTTAGCAAACCTTCTTTGTGGTGATGGCACCTATCAACTATATAGTCTTTTTTCTTAGGTTAGGAACCTCTGAAAATTTGTGCCTTCGAGCTGAAATGTTATAGAAAAATTCTCAGAATGCCACTGCTAAAAAAAAAAAAAAAAAAAAAAAAAAAAAAAAAAAAAAAAAAACTGACATCCTAAAAGATCTAAACATTAAGAATTGTCTTAGAAACAGCATCTTATCTCACAAACTGAAATATTTTGGCCATATAGGTTCAGAGAAAGTAGTAGCAGAGAGCATGCTACCAGGAAGAAGGGGCAGGGCCCAACCACGATGAAAATGGGCAGGGGAAGTGCCGGCGAGAGATGGAGCTTCTTTCCAGCAGACCGTGATGAGAGAAATGTTCTGCAAAGCATCTGCTACATGATGATAGGGAACCATTGTGGTGTAATTGTTAGTCTAACAAATATGGACCTTTTTCAAGATGCTTGAGCATGGAGAATAGTGTGCTACACTTAGGGCTCTTCATCAGGCAGTTAGGTTAGTTCTGTATCCTATAGAAGACATTCAATAACCAGTCCCAGCTACTTTTGACGGTCAGCTCTCCATACCCTGTTCAAAATCACGAGAAGGCTGTCTGCTGCCAAATCACCAGCAGCTGAAATTAAACAAGGTACTCACAGAATTATGAAGAGTGTTCGCAACCCCTAAGCCACAGATACAGACATTACAGGCCTGAGGTAAGGCACCCTTTAAGTATAATTTATTTAGCGTTACTATACTTTGTAGTGAGTACTGGCACCCCTTTTTTTTCTGAAATAAAAGCCCTATTAAACACAGTGTCTGTCAGATCAGTCGGCATGCAATGAGTGGTTATTCCACAGTCGAGGTCCCAGCCTCACTGCTGATGGGTTGCTCCATAAGTGTACTGTTCATGTGACAGTGGAAATGTCTTTCACCATCCCAACTGTCTATGCAAGATCATGAAGCTTGCAAACACAAAGTAAAAATGCATAAGGCAGCTGCCAGATGTGCCAGCACCAAAAGTCCCAAACCAGAACTGTAGCTCACTGTTGGTAAATTCACTGCTGGCCAGTATTACATTGGCTGTGTTGACTTCCTAGGGTGTCCTGGTGCACATCTTAGGCTGGGTCGACCCCTAGACCAAGGGATTTCATTTAAAAGAAATCCATTATGCCTGAGGTTCGAAACCAAGACCTAATGTCAGGAAGAATGAATAGATGGATGAATGAATCAAGAAGTAAAATCACCACACTTACAACATCAATCCAAATTGTGCTGCATGTCTTTCCTCAGTAGCCAAGGCAAGTGTCTAGCCACTGCACTTCCCTGGCTACAACTGGTTGTATGCCTGTCGGCCAGATCGTGGTAAAATGACACCAGCTTCTTCTTCTTCTTCAGCGTTCTGAGCCCTTGAGATTCATTGCTGCAAATATCACCCGTCTTCACTTATCCCTCTGGCCCTTCTCATTCCAGTTGGTGATACCTAATTTTTGCAGGTCTGTCTGGACATTATCTCTCCATCGTCTTCTTTGTATGCCTCATGGTCTACGACCATTCATCTCTCTTGTGTATACAGTTTGTACATCTCTGTCATTTGACATTCTCTCAATATGCCCAAGCCATTTCAGTCTATTTATTCTCATGATGCCAGTGATCAATGGTGATTTAAACAGATTATGAGTTTCATAGTTGCTTCTCATTCTCCATTCCCCGCTGTTCGCATCTTTGATGGGGCCAAAGATTCCTTTTAATACTCAGTTTTCTAAAATTTGTAATGAGGCTTTTTCTCTTTTAGTTTTGCTCCAGGTTTCTGAGCAATATAAAAGGATTAGTCTTATCAACGTGTTATATATTTTGATCTTGGTGTTGCGAGACAGACACTTCAGCTTTAGCAGATGTTGAAGGGCATACTGTATTTGTTTCCACATTGTGTTCTAGATTGTGTTTCTTCTCTCAAAATGAGAGATGATGGAAATGACACCTACTATTTAAAACAATGTTAAGGCAGGGTTGCAGAATTAAGAAACGTGTTACCCATAGCCTGAAGTCTTACCCATAACCTGAAGTCTTACCCATAACCTGAAGTCTTACCCATAACCTGAAGTCTTACCCATAACCTGAAGTCTTACCCATAACCTGAAGTCTTACCCATAACCTGAAGTCTTACCCATAACCTGAAGTCTTACCCATAGCCTGAAGTCTTACCCATAGCCTGAAGTCTTACCCATAGCCTGAAGTCTTACCCATAGCCTGAAGTCTTACCCATAACCTGAAGTCTTACCCATAACCTGAAGTCTTACCCATAACCTGAAGTCTTACCCATAACTTGAAGTCTTACCCATAGCCTGAAGTCTTACCCATAACCTGAAGTCTTACCCATATATTAAAGACCTATTTTCATAAATTAAAGTCTTACCTAAAACCTGAAGTCTAACTCATAGCCTAAAGTCCTATCTATAAACCGAAGTTCTACCCCTAAACTGAAGTTTTATCTATAAACTAAAGTCTTGAGTATAACCTGAAGTCTTATCGATAACCTGAAGTTTTACCCATAAGCTGAAGTCTTACCCATACCCTGAAGTCTTACCCATAAATTAAACTCTTATCTATAACCTTAAGCTTTACCTTTAACTTGAAGTGTTACCTATAATGTGGTGTTACCTATAATGTGAAGTGTTACCTATAACCTGAAGTCTGATCCATAGTCACAAACCTTACTCATGATCTTAAGTGTTACCTATAAATTGTCTTATCTATAATCATAAATCTTATCCATAGTCATGTCTTACAAATAATCCTACACATAACTGTAAATCTTACCCATAAACATAAATCTTACCCATAACCACAAATCTTACCCATAATCATAAATCTTAACAATAATCATAAATCTTACCCATAATCATAAATCTTACCCATAATCATAAATTTTACCCATAATCATAAATCTTACCCATAATCATAAATCTTACCCATAATCATAACTCTTACCCATAACCATAAGGACGAATGCTCCAGCAACCATAATAATTGTTTGGATGAAGTCTGTCCATATGACGGCTGTCAATCCACCTGTTAATGGAAGTATGAACTGATGAGAAAGTGGATAAGCCCAGGATAGAAGTCAGTAGACGGAAAAGATCTTTGTTATGCCGTAAGACTCCTCTGGAATATGGTAATGGCCTTACAATTTCATACACCAGATGAATTAGTTACAGACATATCACATCACAAGTTATTCTTTCATTGGCCGACTTTACTCCCAAGATATTTCCTGGTAATAGCGAAATCAGCCAGACAATTTATTGTGCAATCTTGTGCCTCTTAGTTCTGGAATTGTCCAGAGTTTTGACACTCATACATATCATAACTCTGGACAATTCCCGGTCAACACATAAAGCTCCAATTGTGAAAAAAAAATTAATTAATTAATGCTGTCAACACATACACATCCTCTTGTAGGGGGAAAAACGCCACTTTCAACATACATAGCCCCTACAGGTACAAAGTTGTCAACATATATAATTCCAATTGTAAATTTAAAAGAAAATCACCATACTAGCCATGCCCAGTTAATTTTGTGAATAAAGAAGTCAACATGCACACCTGCTATTGTGAAACCAAACAAATAACACTAAAAAAAAAATTGTCAACATGCTGACCTCCTATTGTGAACAAAGCAGCCACAGCCAACAGAATGATGATGGCAACGTACAAATTCAGCTCTGGCATAGCTTGGGTGAGAAAGATGGCTCCAGAGTACAGATCAGCCTAGGAGAGAAGTAAACATAGAATGATTAATGGTTGTTATATTGTAAATTTGTCTGAATCTTTGTGCATTTCTAAATACCTACCTCAAAAATTGAACCCACACTTGCAGAAAGAGACATGTAAAGATGGGTAAACACACACTAGCATAGAGAGAGATATACAGATGAGTAAAAACACACACTAGCATAGAGAGAGATATAAAGATGGGTAAACACACACTAGCATAGAGAGAGATATAAAGATGAGTAAAAACACACACTAGCATAGAGAGACATGTAAAGATGGGTAAACACACACTAGCATAGAGAGAGATATTAAGATGAGTAAACACACACTAGCATAGAGAGAGATATAAAGATGAGTAAACACACACTAACATAATGAGAGATATAAAGATGATTAACCACAAACAGCATCGAGAGAGAATAAAGATGAGTTAAAAACACAATGCATAGAGAGAGATATAAAGATGAGAAACATTCACAATTGCATTGATATATATATATATTTATAATATATATATAATATACTAGTATATTAAATAGATATACAATAATATAATAAATAATAATAAATACACTATAAATAAATCATATAAATATAATATATATCATTGATATAAATATAGATATACATATATATAAGATAATCTAATCAAATAAAATATATAAAAATAAAAATAAAAATTATAATGTATAATAAACTAAACTAAAATTAAATAAAAAAATAAAAAAACTGAACCTAAATATAAAAATATATATTATAAATGATATATAGAAAAATATACAAACCATATATGTAAAACTATATCTAGATATCTATAAAAATCAATAAACAAAAAAACACAAAATATAAAAACATATAAATATAAAGAAATAACTATAAAATCAAAAAAAAAAAAATATATCTCAATACTATTAAAAAAACTAAAAAGATTAAAACTATAAAATAACTAAAAGAAATAAATAAAATAAAACTAATACAAAACTATTAAATAAAACTAAAAAATATAAAACTAACTAAAGATAAAAAATATACAAACTAACATATATACTCTAAGAAATAAAATAAGAAAAGTAATATAAATAACTACATTATATAAACAAAACTAAAAAAAAAAAAAAAAAAATATTAATATTAAAAAAAAATAAAAAAAAAAAATATAAAACGATAAACAAAAAAAAAAAAAATAGTAAAAATGCAAAAAAATCTCTTTCGCGTGCAAAAAAATACAAGAAATCTGCCCCAAAAATAAAAAACACACACAGAAACAGATACAGACAAACACATAGACACACACATAGACAGACATCCATAAAAATATACAGAAATACACACCCATAGACACACACACCCACACAGCCAAACACAAACAAGGACACAAATGCACATAGAACACACACACACACACAAACACACACACACACACACACACCACCCACCCACCCACAGACAGACAGACAGACAGACATACTTACATACATACATACATGAATACATTTATTACAGACACACACATGCACTGACAGACAGACAGACGGACAGACAGACGGATAGACGGACAGACGGACGGACGGACGGACGGACGGACGGACGGACGGACGGACGGACGGACGGACGGACGGACAGACAGACAGACAGACAGACAGACAGACAGAGACAGACAGACAGACAGACAGACAGACAGACAGACAGACAGACAGACAGACAGACAGACAGACAGACAGACAGACAGACAGACAGACAGACAGACAGACAGACAGACAGAGACAGACAGACAGACAGACAGACAGACAGACAGACAGACAGACAGACAGACAGACAGACAGACAGACAGACAGACAGACAGACAGACAGACAGACAGACAGACAGACAGACAGACAGACAGACAGACAGACAGACAGACAGACAGACAGACAGACAGACAGACAGACAGACAGACAGATAGATAGATAGATAGATAGATAGATAGATAGATAGATAGATAGATAGATAGATAGATAGATAGATAGATAGATAGATAGATAGATAGATAGATAGATAGATAGATAGATAGATAGATAGATTAAATAGATAGATAGATAGAAACTTAGATGAATGTTCACAAAACATCAGAGTTCGGCACAAGAGATACAGGCGAATGCAACCAATCAAAGAAGTAGAGAGATAGAAGAAAGGGTGAATACAAAACAATAACGTATGAACATCTTGATTTAAGCAAAAAACGTTTGAACAACTTGATATAAGCAATAACACATGAACATCTTGATTTAAGCAATGATGTTTACGTACTGATATCTTCGTGAAGACGTAAAGAATCAACGCTAACACGGACAGGTAAATCCTGATTCTCTGTCCTCCAAACCGTTTCCTCAGGTACTCAGGCATAGTAAATACCTGTACGTGTGAGACATATGTGTGAGATGTAAACTAAAATCGTTAAAACGTTAAATTAAGCAAATCAAATAACAGTTTTCACCATCTTAGCCCATCCGGGTATATGACGGAGAAGTTTTAACAGCACTCTGTGCCCCTGGGCAAACCAGTGTGCTGGGACCCCTAGGACAACCATTATGGTAAGTTACTTGATATACACATACTGCGTTAAGACAGCACTAGCATATGGTGCTACCCCCATATTTTTAAAGACAAATCGACACTGGATGGGTGATGTGGTCAACGCCATGCAGACCGCTGTTGCTTTCTGGCACATTTCCTTCTACTCCTTGTAGGATGGGTCGGACTGGGAGCCAATTATTAAACAAAGTTCTGACTCAATGGGGATTCGGACCCCAGATCTTTAGGTAGCAGGCAAGCAACCTATTATTGCATCACTACTTCACAAACAGTGCTAACTATTCTAAGCATAATAAAATGGCACAGACAATTTCATAGAAGGAACTGTCCGTGAGGTGAGAAGTGTTCGTGTTTCACATATTCTAGGCTATTAAGGGTAAAGATATTCAGTTCCGTTCTTGGTCGTCTTTACTTCCTCGTACATTTCACAGCAAATTTCTAAAATTGGGTTGACCTCAGACAGGCTTTGGTGTAAAAAAATGTTGGGTGCCTCATAATTGGGTTGAGTATACCCGCCTGCGGATCTGATGGTCGTAGGTTCAAATCCGAATGGAGCCAGACTGTTTTCAAAATGACCTTGGCTCCCAGGTCAACCTATCCTTCAGTGGGTATCAGGTAAAGTCCTAGGAAGTAAAGGCGACTAACATGATTTTGACCACATCACTCACTGAGCACAGATAGATCTATAAAATATTGGTCCTTTACTAGGACGGAACCCCAACAACTGGCAGACAAGCGCATCCGCCACTACATCACGGATTTCTTAAAAGCATAGAAAATATTGCTGTCATAGAAGAGGATGTCAGTATCAGATTAACGCTTTCAATCCTAGACACTCGCTACAGTTAAAGAAGTCGTTATGTTGACTAATAAGCCTGGCTGTTTGACTGTGCCCAATTTGGCTTGCGCTGTGAAACTCAGATTAAGAAAGGGGTGTGTGGCCTGTGTCAGAGAACCTGTGGTGCCTTATGTGAATAATTGCATGTACAGCTAGAGATCGGTTGTAACTGGTGCTTCCATCGACAATAAACTGAATTTATAGTGTCGGACTTTTCGTGCTGTCACTTCTGACTGCCTTATGCATTTAATGCGCGTGTGTGCTACTGGCTTTACTGAGACTGCAGTTTGTGTACAATTTTTTCCAACTGGGGACAATAATGGGCACGCTGTGAGGTTTTCGTTAGTGCAGTAACGGAGCAAATATGGAGTCACCATCATCATGTGCTGTGCTGATAAGCGTAGGTTGTCATGTCACCCTATCTACCTAGATCACCAGAAACACGGATCAGTTCAGTGCTTTTGTCTCGTGCCATCCATCTGGCCAGGCCATCCTGTGTTTATCTATCTTCCTTCCTCTTGCTCTCTTTTAATCAATCTTGTCAGTAGTTACCAAGTTCTCGAATCCACTCCTTGTCATAATATATTTAAACAAAACTTTGACTGTGAACGTCCTATTGTTCTAATAAGTTTACAACTTCCATATTTTGGAGACAAACGTTTACGCGTATGCCAGGTAAGCTATTCTGTAGATTCTAAACTCAGTAATCAGAATTTAAATCGCCATAGTCATAGCAACAGTAACCTTTAGCAAGATTCAGTAGATACTGACTATAAAAAAAAAAAAAAACATGTCAACTGCAGCGAAAGAGCTGTTGAAGTGTGTTGTTATATGCATTTGAGGCTTGGATAATAAGCACAACATAAAAAAAATATATATATATAAAAAACACACACACACACACACATACACTGTCCATGGAAATATCGTTTTTTTAGAAGAATGACATGGTTAATTATACAAATTAATGATGCAGTTTTCTTCTCTAAACAGGAGAAAACCGTAAACTGACTACTGAAAAAAAAAAAAAATATTTCTAATATTTCAATACCCCACTTGGTCTTCAATCTTGACCCTAAAAATCCGAGCCCTACACATCCCTAAAAAGCGTTAAATGCGGACAAAACAAGGACAGGTACACAAACGACCGACATAAAGATTGTGATGTCCAACTTACCCCGGCAGCCACATAGACAGGAACAAAAAACCAGCCCAGTACCATCAGAATAAAGATAGCCTGAAATTGTTATATACAAGAACGATATCTTAAAACAGTCTATATTATTGTAGCATCCTTTATTTAAATAAAATGCGCGAAGACCATTCATATGTATCAGAGTAAAAGATGCTCAGAAGAAACAACAATACAAGCAACAACAAATAAGGAAGCAAGAACTGAGGCATAAAATGCATGTCTTCAATAGTTATGTAAAATGTAAGTAGGCTCTCTTTTCCAAGCCTGGCTAATAGGTGAACTGTACCACAACCGGCTCCAGCAGCTTGAGCCGGTCATGTCTGTACTGTCCAGATACTTTATAAATAATAACTAACACTAGAACAACAATGATATCAATATCATGCTCACCATCTTTATTTGGTGGAACATTTTTTTTTTCTAGGATGCTGGGTCCATCTGGAAGGCACTGTGACATTACTACCAATCCCTCCCATAGACAAAGAGAAGAAGAAGAAGAAGAAGAAGAAGAAGAGAGAGAGAGAGAGAGAGAGAGAGAGAGAGAGAGAGAGAGAGAGAGAGAGAGAGAGAATGAGAGAAAAAATGAAGAGAGTGAAAATATAAAGAGAGAGAGAGAGAGAGAGAGAGAGAGAGAGAGAGAGAGAGAGAGAGAGAGAGAGAGAGTAATAAAGAAAAAAAAGAGAGAGGAGAGAGACAAAGAAAACAGGTATATATAATTTCATTTTGACAACTTGAAAATAAGGATAATAAAAAGTCAGATGTTTGATCTGTGTGTGTGTGTGTGTGTGTGTGTGTGTGTGTGTATGAGTGTTTGTGTTATTTTTGTTCGTCTTCTTCTGTCTCTTACTGATTGCTTGAATGCAACACACACTATTAAGTTGGCTGTTGCAGCTGCATCTTTTTGGCAGGATGAGGTAGCCAATGTTAAAATCAACACTGAATTGGTGTCATCAGCTGCTACACGCTGCAGGATTTACTGAGAATAGGGTGTGTGGTTGGGGAAGGGTGAGGGGTGGAGTGGGGTGTGGTTGGGGCACACAGGTGCATAACCACACGTGATGGCGCACCAGAACAAGGACTCATACTAGTCAAGACATGCATATACCTCTCCGGGGTCATCCTTGAAACAGGCTCTATGCAAGGAGTCTGGCCGAAGTAAAGAAGATCGGCATTGCTTTTGAAGTGGGAGTGCATCTGCGGGAGAAGCAAGGAAGTAACAGTCCGCACATCAGTAAGCTTCAGCTGTGAAATGGACACACATAGGCACACACATAGGCACACACATAGGCACACACATAGGCACACATAGGCACACACATAGGCACACACATACACACACATAGGCACACACATAGGCACACACACACAGGCACACACATACACACACGCGCACATGCAAAATCGCGCACATGCAAAATCGCACACATGCAAAATCGCACACATGCAAAATCGCACACATGCAAAATCGCACACATGCAAAATCGCACACATGCAAAATCGCACACATGCAAAATCGCACACATGCAAAATCGCACACATGCAAAATCGCACACATGCAAAATCGCACACATGCAAAATCGCACACATGCAAAATCGCACACATGCAAAATCGCACACATGCAAAATCGCACACATGCAAAATCGCACACATGCAAAATCGCACACATGCAAAATCGCACACATGCAAAATCGCACACATGCAAAATCGCACACATGCAAAATCGCACACATGCAAAATCGCACACATGCAAAATCGCACACATGCAAAATCGCACACATGCAAAATCGCACACAAGCACACATGCAAAATCGCACACATGCAAAATCGCACACATGCAAAATCGCACACATGCAAAATCGCACACATGCAAAATCGCACACACGCACAAAATCGCACACATGCAAAATCGCACACATGCAAAATCGCACACATGCAAAATCGCACACATGCAAAATCGCACACATGCAAAATCGCACACATGCAAAATCGTCTCACACACACTATTCGCGCACACATCCTATCATTCTATCGCACACATGCAAAATTCTATGTCCTCACATGTCCATCATTCTATGTCCTCACAATCATCATTCACATGCACACACACATCACATGCACACATTCAAAATCCTCACAAATCCACATAAAATCTATGTCCACACATGCTATCTATTCTATGTCCTCACACACTATCTATTCTATGCAATGTCCTATCTATTCTATGTCCTCACATCCTATCTATTCTATGTCCTCACATATCCACACATGCACATATCTATCTATTGTCCTCACATGCAATCTATCGTCCTCACATGCAAATCTATCGCTCACACATGCTACAATAGGCACACACATGCACTATCTATCACATCATCCACACACACATGCACACACAATCGCACACATGCAAAATCGCACACATGCATCGCACACATCGCGCACACATGCAAATCTATCTGCATGTCGCACACACATATCGCACATCGCACACATGCAAAATCGCACACACGCACACATGCAAAATCGCACACACACATCGCACATGCCAATCGCACACATGCAAAATCGCACACATGCAAAATCGCACACATGCAAAATGTCGCACACATGTCCAAATCACACATGCAAAATCGCACACATGCAAAATCGCACACCACACATGCAAAATCGCACACATGCTCAAATCACACATGCAAAATCGCACACATGCAAAATCGCACACATGCAATCGCACACATCCTATCACACATTCTATGTCCTCACATGTCCACACTATATATTCTATGTCCTCACATGTCCACATCAATTCATGTCCTCACATGCACCTATCTATTCTATGTCCTCATCTATTCTATCCTCACATGTCCTCACATGTCCTATGTCCTATTCTATTCTATGTCCTCACATGTCCTATCTATTCTATGTCCTCACATGTCCTATCTATTCTATGTCCTCACATGTCCTATCTATTCTATGTCCTCACATGTCCTATCTATTCTATGTCCTCACATGTCCTATCTATCTATCCTCACATGTCCTATCATGTCCTATCTATTCTCATGTCCTCTACATGTCCTATCCTATCTATTCTATGTCCTCACATGTCCTATCTATTCTATGTCCTCACATGTCTATCTATTCTATGTCCTCACATCCTATCTATTCTATGCCTCTATGCACACATTCTATGTCCACACATATCCTATCTACACATATGTCCTCACACATATCCTATCTATTCAGGCATGTCCACACATGTCACACACATACTCACTCACTATCTATTCACACGCACACACATCCTATCACACTACTATGTCTAAATATCTCACATGTGCACACATGCATGTCCTCACACATCAAAATCTATTCTATGTCCCACATGTCCTATCACACATGTCCTCACATGCAAAATCGCATCTATCGCACACACACATCGCACATGTCATCGCACTATTCAAAATCGCACACATGCAAAATCCACACAATATCGCACACACATCACACACATGCTACGCACACACTATCGCACACATGCAAAATCGCACACACAAATCGCACACATGCAAAATCACACATATCACACAAATGCACACATCGCACACATGCAAAATCGCACACATATTCTATGTCCTCACATGTCATATCGCACACATGCAAAATCACACACATCATTCTATGTCCTCACACACATCTATTCTATGTCCTCAACATCTCCACTATGCTAAATCCTCATTCTAAATCACATGTCTCATGTCCTATCTATTCTATGTCCTCACATGTCCTATCTATTCTATGTCCTCACATGTCCTATCTATTCTATGTCCTCACATGTCCTATCTATTCTATGTCCTCACATTCTATATCTATCACATGTCACATATCCTATCATTCTATGTCCTCACATGTCCTATCTATTCTATGTCCTCACATGTCCTATCTATTCTATGTCCTCACATGTCCTATCTATTCTATGTCCTCACATATCCTATCTATTCTATGTCCTCACGTATCCTATCTATTCTATATCACATGTCCTATCTATTCTATGTCCTCACATGTCCTATCTATTCTATGTCCTCACATATCTATATCTATGTCACACACATGTCAAATCACACATGTCCCACATATCTACACATAGTCACACACATGGCACACACATATGCACACACCTCACACACACACCAGGCACATTCTATGCACACACATAGGCACATAGTCCACACACATATCCGCACACACATAGGCACACACATAGGCACACACATAGGCACACACATACATACACACACAAGCACACACATACACACACGCGCACATGCAAAATCGCGCACATGCAACATCGCACACATGCAAAATCGCACACATGCAAAATCGCACACACACATGCAAAATCGCACACATGCAAAATCGCACACATGCAAAATCGCACACATGTGCAAATCGCACACATGCACACATGCAAAATCGCACACATGCAAAATCGCACACATGCAAAATCGCACACATGCAAAATCGCACACATGCAAAATCGCACACATGCAAAATCGCACACATGCAAAATCGCACACATGCAAAATCGCACACATGCAAAATCGCACACATGCAAAATCGCACACATGCAAAAATCGCACACATGCAAAATCGCACACATGCAAATCGCACACATGCAAAATCGCACACATGCAAAATCGCACACATGCAAAATCGCACACATGCAAAATCGCACACATGCAAAATCGCACACATGCAAAATCGCACACATGCAAAATCGCACACATGCAAAATCGCACACATGCAAAATCGCACACATGCAAAATCGCACACATGCAAAATCGCACACATGCAAAATCGCACACATGCAAAATCGCACACATGCAAAATCGCACACATGCAAAATCGCACACATGCAAAATCGCACACACGCACACATGCAAAATCGCACACACACATCTATTCTATGTCCTCACATGTCCTATCTATTCTATGTCCTCACATGTCCTATCTATTCTATGTCCTCACATGTCCTATCTATTCTATGTCCTCACATGTCCTATCTATTCTATGTCCTCACATGTCCTATCTATTCTATGTCCTCACATGTCCTATCTATTCTATGTCCTCACATGTCCTATCTATTCTATGTCCTCACATCACATGTCCTATCTATTCTATGTCCTCACATGTCCTATCTATTCTATGTCCTCACATGTCCTATCTATTCTATGTCCTCACATGTCCTATCTATTCTGTCCACACATCCTCTATTCTATGTCCTCACATGTCCTATCTATTCTATGTCCTCACATATCCTATCTATTCTATGTCCTCACATGTCCTATCTATTCTATGTCCTCACATGTCCTATCTATTCTATGTCCTCACATGTCCTATCTATTCTATGTCCTCACATATCCTATCTATTCTATGTCCTCACATGTCCTATCTATTCTATGTCCTCACATGTCCTATCTATTCTATGTCCTCACATGTCCTATCTATTCTATGTCCTCACATGTCCTATCTATTCTATGTCCTCACATGTCCTATCTATTCTGTGTCCTCACACATAGTCCTATCTATTCTATGTCCTCACATGTCCACACACTATGTCCACACACATAGGCACATTCATGTCCTCACATAGTCACTACATTCTATGTCCTCACACACATCCTAGGCACACACATGTCCACACATAGGCACATCTATCTATGTCACACACATAGGCAATCACATAGTCACACACACACAGGCTACACACACATGCACACACATATGCACACAGGCACACACATAGGCACACATGCAAAATCGCACACATGCAAAATCGCACACATGCAAATCACATGCACACATGCAAAATCGCACACATGCAAAATCGCACACACATAATGCACACATGCACACATCGCACACATGCAAAATCGCACACAAAATCGCACACACAAATCGCACACATGCAAAATCAAAATCGCACACATGCAAAATCGCACACATGCAAAATCGCACACACATCGCACACATGCAATGCAAAATCGCACACATGCAAAATCGCACACATGCAAAATCGCACACATGCAAAATCGCACACATGCAAAATCGCACACATGCAAAATCGCACACATGCAAAATCGCACACATGCAAAATCGCACACATGCAAAATCGCACACATGCAAAATCGCACACATGCAAAATCGCACACATGCAAAATCGCACACATGCAAAATCGCACACACGCACAAAATCGCACACATGCAAAATCGCACACATGCAAAATCGCACACATGCAAAATCGCACACAAAATCACACATCCTAATTCGCACACATGCAAAATCGCACACATGCAAAATACATGTCCACACATGCAAAATCTCACACATGCAAAATCGCACAAATGTCGCACACACATATCGCTATCATCATGTCCGCACAAATATCGCACTCATGTCCTCAATCATATGTCACACATGCAAATATCTATTCATGTCCTCACATCCTATCTATTCTATGTCCTCACACATCCTATCTATTCTACAATCGCACACATCTATGTCCACACATGCCTATCTATTCGCACACATCTCCCTCAAATCATCTATGCACACATGCATCTAATCGCACACATCTATTCAAAATCGCACACACATATATGTCCTCACATGTCCTATCTACACATGTCCTCACATATCCACACATGTCCACATGCATATCTACACATGCCTCACAAATCGCACACATGCAAAATCGCACACATTCAAAATCGCACACATGCACATCGCACATGCAAATCGCACACATGCAAAATCGCACACACAAAATCGCACACATGCAAAATCGCACACATGCAAAATCGCACACATGCACACAAATCGCACACACAAAATCACACATGCAAATCGCACACATGCAAAATCGCACACATGCAAAATCACATGCACACATGCAAAATCACACATGCAAAATCGCACACATGCAAAATCGCACACATGCAAATCGCACACATGCAAAATCGCACACATGCAAAATCGCACACATGCAAAATCGCACACATGCAAAATCGCACACATGCAAAATCGCACACAAATCGCACACATGCACACATCGCACACATGCACACACATGCAAAATCGCACACATGCAAAATCGCACACATGCAAAATCGCACACACGCACACATGCAAAATCGCACATGCAAAATCGCACACATGCAAAATCGCACACATGCAAAATCGCACACATGCAAAATCGCACACATGCAAAATCGCACACACAATGCAAAATCGCACACATGCAAAATCGCACACATGCAAAATCGCACACATGCAAAATCGCACACACATCGCACAAATCGCACACATGCAAAAATCGCACACATGCAAAATCGCACACATGCAAAATCGCACACATTCAAATCGCACACACAAATCGCACATCTATCAATCGCACACACATGTCCTCGCACATGTCAAATCTATCTATGCATGTCCACACATGTCCACATCTATTCACATGTCCTCACATCCTATCTATCTATCACATTCTATCTATTATGTCCTCACATGTCCTATATATGTCCTCACATGTCCTATTCTATGTCCTCACATGTCCTATCTATTCTATGTCCTCACATGTCCTATCTATTCTATGTCCTCACATGTCCTATCTATTCTATGTCCTCACATGTCCTATCTATTCTATGTCCTCACATGTCCTATCTATTCTATGTCCTCACATGTCCTATCTATTCTATGTCCTCACATGTCCTATCTATTCTATGTCCTCACATGTCCTATCTATTCTATCCTCACTCTATCTATTCATGTCCACATGTCTATCTATGTCCTCACATGTCCTATCTATTCTATGTCCTCACATGTCCTATCTATTCTATGTCCTCACATGTCCTATCTATTCTATGTCCTCACATGTCCTATCTATTCTATGTCCTCACATGTCCTATCTATTCTATGTCCTCACATATCCTATCTATTCTATGTCCTCACATATCCTATCTATTCTATGTCCTCACATATCCTATCTATTCTATGTCCTCACATGTCCTATCTATTCTATGTCCTCACATGTCCTATCTATTCTATGTCCTCACATGTCCTATCTACATAGGCACACACATACACACACACATAGGCACACACATAGGCACACACATAGGCACACACATAGGCACACACACATACACACACACACACACATAGGCACACACATACACACACATAGGCACACACATAGGCACACACATAGGCAAGAACATACAGTATAATAAAACAGACAGGATAATAGAACAGACAGGTACATACACACAGACAGACAGTCATTCTTGATTATGATAATGAGGTTCGTATAAAGGAAGAAGTTATTGAATTTGCTTACGCTCAGCTCAAATGAAGCTATGGCAATCCCACTTGAAGCTCCAGAGCCTGCCAGACCCACAAAGTGGCCAGACCCAATGTTGCTGGCGAACAGGGAAGCTCCAACCTGCACCAGATGAACAACAGAGCATGATTATTTAGTGTCTATGTAGGGTGAAGTTATTAAGCGAGGAGTTGTGTTGATCATGTTTAGATGGAGATCGAGGCAGTCACCTCTGCCTTTTTCTAGTATGACATCCAGCTGTACTCAAATGTCGTAACTGGAAGTGACTCATAGAGCATGTTAAGAAAGGAAGGTAGAAACAAGCATGCTCTGTGAAAAATGGCATGCGTCGCTTCAGAGGTCCCTAGTAGTTAGTGTCCTTTGGATATTTTCTGCAGGTCATAAAGGTGTGTTCTCAAACGTTTAGGTAGATAGACTGGTTGGTTGTGCACCATTTGGTGGTGAATTGATGTATGACAAGCTAGATGTTATAAAGATCTTTTGGAAGAGCGTGAACAGTGTGATGACACACGTAGATCATTTGGGTCTGAGGAGAATGGCGCTGCGAGGAGTTACCAGGGGATCTGGCTGATGCTTAGCACTCAAGAGAATGGCAAGACGAATGTACAATCAGACAGTTACTATTGATACAGAAATTTGAACTCTTCTCTTGCTGCTGAAGATGGGGATGGAGCGTTTATGGGAGTGTTGCGAAAGCTGGGATGTTTTTTCCCAATTCAACATTCAAACATTAATGTTTACGAATATCTTGTGAATTCACGCAGACCTAACTGCCTGTATAAGAATGTCCTTGCAAATGATGACCGAAATGATGAGCAAATGTTCACAAAAAAGTCTTAATTAAAAGATTCACAACTGTCACATACATTCTTTCCCCACGTGGGTTTCAGGGCCCTATTATAGGAAAAACAAGAATAGACCCACTGCCTACCCAAAAAGCATGTCGTAAAAGTTGGCTAACTGGGAACTTCCTTTGAAGTCGGAGTGAATCATTCTGAGAGGCAAGGAACCAGCAGTCTGCATACAAATGAGTCAGATCTGTAAAACGGATGTACACGCAACACTCAGGTTCTGGAACAGGACTTCAGTCCAAAAGTGGATGAACAACCAGAACTTTCTGCCAGAGTTTACAGCTGGTGAACACTGTCGTGGAGTGAACAGCCGACCTTACACGATGGACGAGTCGTGATGCTGACTTCCCTAAGCGGGCACGTCACATTTTAAACTTAAACCAGTCCGGGGGGGGGGGGGGGTGTGTATATAGTCCCTTATATTGATTCAAATCTCTATCTCGTGAAATAATCATTTCTATACCCTCTAGTTGCTTTGAGAAGTCTACATTTTCAAACTTGCAACTGTGGGATGAATATTTCTAATGTATAATTCAGAAATTCCTGTAAGCCTGTTTACTCCTTGGGCACGAATACAGGGACTTCTTTCCTAGAGACGCTAGCGGGGGTTTTGAGCGGCATTCTTTAGCCTGATCTCCAAAGTGTCAAGACGTGTATACAGTCTATGAATAAAATTGGCGCATTCATAGTACCAGCTTTATCTTTGAAGAATTCCTAAGCTTGGGTAAGTTGATTATAGTTTACGAGTACCATAATATATGTCTTTTTAAAGTTGGCCACTGCTGCAGAGAGGGAAGATTCAGCTGTGTGATCGCACAGAGTTGGGCCGTTCTTGATGTCCAGAGATCAGGCTCCGAACATTAAACCTTTCCCTGTGCAGACTAAATAGTTTGTGCTCTACATAACCCACACCATTTGTAAAGATATTAAACCCTACAAGTAATTATTCTCTGACCAGACAAACGAAGTTTTGTGCCTCAAAGCAGAAATACGGAATCTGGGTCATCTTTTAGATACTGTGACGTCAGAGCTAGACGCTCTGAGTCCAAGGTGTGTTGGGCACGGAAACATTGGGTGTGTAGTGAGCAGCCTGAGGAGACGTGAATTATATATATAGGTACTAACAGGATACATTGTATGTCTGCGTGTGCAGATGTGGGAGTGGAGAGAGGATGATCTATGTGTGGTAGTGTCTATTTGTCTCCACTATATACCTTGTCTTCTATCTGGTGTACTAATTTACAGATAAATGAAAGGAGACATTGTCTCCTGTTCTTGAGAGTTACACTCTGAGGAATGGAGAAGGGTAGCAGAGTGTGGGGGTGAGCTGGTGTGTGAATAAGGATGATTACTAATTCTGAGTTTTTTCCTGACAGGATGATACCTCCTTAGAGAGCAGGCAGACGAATCACAGTCCAGCCAACAACAACCAACCCATACCATTCTGGGCACCAAGTATACCCAAAAGTCCTACCTATTGTTGCCACTACCTCAACATGGCAGGAGCTTGTATGTGAGTTCCAGGACTAGTAGACAATTGCAGACACATATGTCATCAATCCAGAGAATCAGTCTTCAAGAGCTTTGTTGGGCTCCTATGCAGTTCCTGTGTCCTCATGTGAAAGACAGTCAGCCTGTACCAGATCAAACCGAGGCGTAGTTATCTACTGAGTCAACCACAGTCGAATCACCATGGACTGAGGGGAGCAGTGACCTACGAACTGGGATAAGTGATCTCTTAATCGCACACATGCTCTCTTCCCACAGCTCCCTTAGATTTCCAATGATAAATTCATGTAATGTCCAGGAACTACATCTGGCTGCTTCAACATCTGGGTTGTGTCATTAATTCCTGAGCTCCATTCACTGAACACTCTTGATTATCTATTCATTTATATATGTGTATATATTGAACTTATTACATGCAGAAATTTTCATGGCTGACTTGGGTGTCCCTGTTTCACCATTCATTTTATGTTTGTGTGAGCAATAAGTGTAATCTGTGTTAACATGGCTATGATAGTATACTATCATAACCCGTGGGCTACCTTTTTATAGTAGTGGGGGTGTCCAGCCAAGTGTGCCTAGGAATATTATATATTTAGTAGTGCCAAAGCTTGAGTTGCCCTACTCCTGAAATAAGTTGAGCGTATATTGGCCACGGGATATCCCTTAGACCTATACGAGCCAACGACTCAACATTATTATTTCAGAGTGCTGTTGGTTCTTAAGGAGAAATCCTTAAATCAGGCACGTGACAGGAGCGGTATGTGACAAACATGAAGAAGAAGAAGAAGACATCAATTCTTTACCGAAATGATGAGCAAATATAACATAAACTATGACTGAAATTACGAGGAAATGTCCCATTTAAGTACTTGGGTGCCCTGATAACATCAGATAGAAGATGTATTAAATAAGGTAAATGTCGAATAGCTGAAGCAAAGACATCATTTTACAAAATGAAGAATATTTTATGCAATCTTTGTCAATTAAGACGGGGAAAAGAATTATTAAACGTTATATAAATCGTATATTGATAAGTGGATGTGAATCATGGACAGTTAGTAAATTAATAATAACATAATTGAAAGCTGAGGAGATGTGGTTTTATAGAATGATGAGAATACCCTGGATAGATAAAAATGAGTAATGAAGACGTCTTAAAAAAAAAAACTGACTCCCGAAGAGAAGTAATTGCCCACATCAGAAAGAGACAATCTACATGGTCAAGTGATGAGAAGGAGAAAACTGAAGCAAATCCTGACTGTAGGAAAGTTGGAGGTTAGAAGAGAGGCGGAGGGAGACCGAGAGAACAGATACTGGTAGTTTGACATCATGGTATGAATGATTATTTGTGTCAGAGTTTAGTGAAAGTGCACGAGACAGAAGGTTATGGATAGACATGACTATCAACGCCATACGGCATGAACTTTAAGAAGAAGAAGTCTTGGCAGCCTTGTTTTTCTATGCTGAATTTTAGAGATTCAGAAGTATTGCGTTGATCTGGAAAACGTTATGAACGTTGAACAGTTGAAAAAACATCAGAAAATCAACGTAGTATTGCCTGTAAAACATGCAGTGACAATTGTAAAAGACACTGTAAAAAATGTACAGATAATGTTTGTTAGAGCTAGAGGAGTCTTGGTGATTGTGATTGATTTTGTTGTCTGTACGTTCATCGTCGTCATCATCATCATTACGATTAAGAGATCACTTGGACAACACGTATTTACCGGAATCCAGTGCATACTCCTGCCAGCCAGAAAGTAACCGCCGACCGTGCCCCGGTTTCTGCATGACGACTGTGGAAATACAGACACACAAAACTGTAATAACGTATTGTTAATGTAACATTACATACATTTCATGTATCTTTATGTATAAAGGGGGCCTCACTAGAGAAGCTGTTAAGTAATCTGTCTCCCGCCTTAAAAACTGTGGGTTCACCACTTCATAATAATTAACAGGAACAGTTATTTTTAAGATACTTCGAAGTTGCCGCTGGAGCTACAGAGTTCGTGTCCTCTTCGGTACTCTAAGGAGAGACCAAGCCATATGATATACGATTTGGGGGAGAAAGGGGGGGGGGGGGAGGAATTGGGCCTTTAGCCGTGGAGAAATTGTTTGTTTTTACTGCTTATATATCCCGTTATTTTTAGGACGAAGAAAGGGAGAGGGTTGGAAGGGGGGGGGGGGGGCTTTCAGCCTGAGAATTTAGGGCTGCATGGCAAGTGCAGTCGCCACGAACTGTGCACGTTAGAACTTTTACTTTTGCCATAGACGGATTAAAACGTCCTTCACCTTCCCAAGGATTCAAACCCGGACCACCAGTGTTGTCAGCCGCTGGGTCAACAGTTTCTGGCCTCTCATCTGGAAAAAAAAAAAAAACCATTTATGCATCTTGATATCAGATAATGAAGACATTCCTGATCTTTCAACTTCTGATGACAATTTGAACAGTCAGATAATTGCACACAGAAGATGTAGACGTATGATATGTTACAAGGTTTCACAGATACTAGAAAACAAATTGTTAAACTGCTTTCTGCCGGTCGGTCAACCCCTTCAAGTATGAAACAGAAGTATCACTACTGACACATAAGTATTGAAGAATGTCATACCTAACACAAATTAGTATGGATAAGAGTGGCCATACGTCCCGTTTTTGCCGGGGCAGGTTCCCCCCCCCCCCCACCACATCGTTAATTGTCCCGTTCTTTGGAAGACTAGGAATAAGGTCGAGAATAGAACACGCACTTATAGTTATGTCTGTAGTCCTTATTAGATTTAATAGTTTTTAGATATTTCAAATGCCTGAAATGTGTCGATAGGAATCTTCAATGTAGCATGTTTGTTTAGTGAAACTGAAGAGCACGTTGTTTCGTATATTTCATGGCTCAGTGGATCGGGTTTTAATACCACTGTTGAGTGAGATATTAACCCTTTCACCTCAGTGATCTTAAAAAAAGAGGAAAAAGCCCGGGGTTAAACTTATTGGACGGGAATGTCCCCTTTTCAGCTCAAAATATTTGTTGGATGTCCCGTTTTCAGATCATGATATTACGGTCACCCTAGTAATGATCGTTTACTTGCTGGTTATAAATGTGCAGGGACCGCACACAAGTAAACCTCACATTAGGGCCGAGGACAGATTAGAGGTAAAACAGATAAACACATAGAAAACTAATGGCATGATGACAGTGTATTGGAAATCATTTGCCACATCCAGTCACAAAACATCGAATACCTGCTAGCCACGTATCGATCACACCGTATCTTCTTCCTCAGCGGTCAACAACACACGTAGTCGTGGATAGCTTCTGGTATCGACTGCTATGCAAGTTTAATTTTTCATTCAACACTGCGGTTTGTAGAATTAACAACAAGAATCAAAAAGCTACAAATATAGGAAAGCCCACTCAACCGACTAAACTGTTACCCAATTGTTACCAAATAGCCTGTAGTCTGAGCTGGGCATGTAAAGCCTTTGTTATAAAATTGTATGTGCTTACAAGCAGGGGCATCAGTGACCGGCTCGCCCATTGGCTGGCCGATAGACTACTTCGTTGTCGGTGGGGACAGTATTTGGGTCTGTCTCTCTTGATCGCATCAACACTGCAATGGTCCTTGTCATGCCTACTTAGTGGCCAGCAATGTTAGGCCATTTAAAAAAAATGGTGCAAATAACCTGTCACAATTATAACCAAAAGCACCCCCTTCGGGGATGCTCTTTGAATGTGATGATTTTTGTTTGTTTTGAGAAACGGACAATGAAGGACATGCAAGGGAGGTCGCCATAGTGTAGCGGCTAGACGCTAGAATGGAGAGCGGAAGGTCACTGGTTAGGACCTGACGAAGCCAGACTTTCTTACAACATGACCTTGGCAGCCGGGTCGACCTAGTCATAGATGGGTACTGGTACAGTCTTGGGAACTAAGGCGGCCGACGTGATGTTGACCGCATCCATCGAGTGCCGACTGGTCTACAAAATATAGGTGTACGCCCATATACCAAATACGCCTGAAAGCGTGGAAAAGCTTCCTATTTGTGCAAGTAACAGAAAGTATTTGTGCAAGAAGAATTCATTATACATCTTGATCCACTTGATTAGTGGTTATTTTAATCGTCAGATCCGTATTAAGAGCACTTAATGTTTTTTTTTTCTGACACATTTTCACGTTTAAATAATTTAAAAAAAAAAATGTTTGGACACTTGGGTCGAGGTTAGGTTTTCAACCAAAAACTGTCACTGTCAGATGTTCGCATATTATCGCTCCAGCGAAACAATCAATTATATTTCTGCTGACATCAAATCTTTTTTTTTATAATCTGTTTTACAGCAACGGTTCTCATATTTGTCCTTGAACTCTAATTTTGATCGTGGAACTGTTTACTCTCGTTGAAACAGAGAGAGAGAGAGAGAGAGAGAGAGAGAGAGAGAGAGAGAGAGAGAGAGAGAGAGAGAGAGAGAGAGAGAGAGAGAGAGAGAGAGAGAGAAAGAGAGAGACAGAAAGAGACAAGCAGAGAGACAGACAGAGAGACAGACAGAGAGACAGACCGTGAGCAAGCGAGAATGTCATGTGATGCTTTACCACACAAGGTATGATAAAAAAAAAAAAAACGGGATGTAGAGCCTGAGAAAAATATTTGCAAACAGCGTTACAGGAATTCTGCAACAGTGTCGGCAACAACAGAGGGAGGCATAAACATGTTTCTCTGATATTACCCGAGCAGTAAAAGAAAAAGAAGTAAAAGATGAGGAGGAATGGAAGAACAAGAAGATGCGGAGGAGGTAGATGGGGAGGAGTCAAAGAAGAAGCTTTGTGAAGCAACGTTAAAGATGATTATCCCAATTTTTGTCTCTTTTGCTGACGGATAGATTATTATGAGAAAGTAAAAACTTGGTACACTAGCTAGACCACAAATATAACCAATACTTTTCGCAACAGGCTGAACATTTTGGGTCTGATTTCGGGATAAGAAAATTGGAACATTCAAAGTTCCTTATATGTGCATTGAAAATATGTTATTAAAAACGATAACATATGCCCTGTTGACTGAGAACAATGCTCTACATTTTGTTGAAGGAATAAATAACAAATTAACAACAAGGACATAGCACAAACTGCGGCGTCCGTGGCTTAGGCGTTGCGAGTCCGACTTGTAATTCCAACGTACCGCGATCGAAACCCACTGCTGGCTGCGTGGATTTTTATCATGGTATGGGGCGTCGCAGGTCTGTCTACCCAGCCTAAAATTGGTACCAGGATGACTCTTCTAGGAAAGTAAAGACCTCTGGCGTAATGCTGACCACATTTCCCACCTAGTGCCGATTGGTATGTAAAAAATATTATACTTTCTTCCCATATGTCCGATGCGCCTATGGCGTGTAAAGGTATCTTTACTTTACTGTTACTTTATGTAGCACAGATTATGATGTTGGAGGGGAAACGTTGAGTGACGTGAAAAGGCAGGCAGCTCTAGTGTTTTCACAACTCTTGTCTTTCGTATCTGGTTTTAACAGAATGGTGTAGATACAGAGGCACAGATACAAAGAAAACATTGGTGCGGCGGCCCCTCCCCCAGGGTATCGGGAGGGGCAAGTGAGGTAGCTCTCAAGGCATAGTCAAGGGTTCCTCAGCCTTCTTGAAAAGCGTTATATTTATTATTAAGTGCTGAATAAAAAAAAAAAACACACACACACACAATGTATCTGAAATAATGCGAACTGCGTAAAGGAATATATATATATATATATATATATATATATATATATATATATATATATATATATATATATATATATATAAATATATATATATATATATATATACATATATATGTGTGTGTGTACACACACACACATATATATATATGTTTGAGGTGGGTAAGGTGGTCAGCATTACGCCGGCCGTCTCTACTTCCCCAGGATAGCCATCCTAGTTCCCATTTTAGGCTGGGTCGACCTGCGACACCCCATGCCACGTTAAAAATCTACGCAGCCATCAGTGGGTTTCGATCGTGGTACGTATTAATAATAATAATGATGATGATACTAATAATAATAATAACTCCACAGCGGGAACGAAACGTGCACACCAGGAGTCCACCGTTCATAGCTAGAAAGGTCCGTCATCTTCTGATGTAAGTACTCGTGTACTGGCAAAAGGATTGAAGAAGGGTTCCACACAGTTCCACCAATTGTCTGAGAATCTTTTTCTTCCATCCTTGTGTCAGAAAGTCTTTCTATCTGAAGCAACTGTTACATCAAACTCATAAATGCAGACTAATGTTTATCATCTTCGCGTGACTTCCCCACTTGGGTGGGCGATCATGCCTCTCCACAATTCGCGATCTGCATCTGCGTGTATCAGTTCGTGTGCTGACACCCCTCCATGTCATGACAAAAGACTCTCAATAATCTTTTCACGTTATCTTCCTCTGTCTCTCTTTCCACAGGTCTTTTTAGTGGTCACAACATGTTCCATTTCCCCTCTTCTCATAACATGGCCAACAAATTATGACTGTTTCTTTCTGATGTTTGTGATAAGTAGTCTTGCAGCATTCGCTTTTTTCAAAAGAGACGAATGCTCGAAGACATCTTATCACAAACATCAGAAAGCCTGAAATTACTAAAAATAATAACTGTAAAAGTGTCAGTTAATGTAGGAACCGGATGAAACAGATTTCCCTCTACCGAATGCGCCAAGGGCGAACGGCAAAGAATGAGAACATTCTTTGCATTGATGTGATGAAAATGAAAAGAAAGTGTCTATCTGGGGGAACAGAAAGAAAGAAAGGT